GCAGCAACTGGTAGCCAATGTAATTTAAACAGAATCGGCTTGATATATCCCCTAGCAGCCCCACCACTCACCAGCCACGCAGCTTGATTCTGGACCAGTTGCAATTGCCAGACTGTCTTCAAAGGCAGCCCCACATAGAGCACATTGCAGTAATCTATACGAGATGTTACCAGTGTGTGCGTAACTGTCATGAGACTCCGCTTGTCCAGGTAGGGCGTAGCTGGTATAATTTTCCGCAGCTGAAGGAAGGCGCCCTGGCTACTGAGTCCACCTGGGCTTTCAAAGTTAAACTGCAGTCCAGGAGCACCCCCAGGATGTGGACTCTGTCCCTTAAAAATGAAGTAACCCCATTCAGGGCAGGGAAATGGCCCTCCAGCCTGTCCAGTGAAGCACCCACTAACAGCACTTCTGTCTTGTCTGGATTGAGTTTCAATTTATTAACCCTCATCCAGTCTGTTAACAGGTCCAGACATGAGTTTAGCACAGAAACCGCCTCACCTGGATTGGTGGAAAACGAGCGGTAGAGCTGAGTGTCATCAGCACAAACTTCCTGATGACCTCTCCCAGCGGCTCCATGTAGATGTTAAACAGCATGGGAGACAGTATTGAGCCCTGAGGATCTCCATGACAGGAATGCCGTGGGGCAGAGCAACTGTCCCCCAGCACCACCCTCTGGACACGGCCGGCCAGGAAGGAGTGGAACCACCGTAAAGTGGTGCCCCCGACTCCCAACCCAGCCAGCCTATCCAGAAGGACACCATGGTCAATGGTGTCAAAAACCACTGAGAGGTCCAGGAGTATTAACAGGGTCATACTCCCCGTCTCTCTCCCGGCAAAGGGCATCGTACAGGGCGACCAAGGCAGTCTTCGTACCAAAACCCCATGTGATTGATCACAGGGCCACTTTTTCTATTTGCAGATCAAAATAATTTGGATATCCTACAGCAAAATTCCACCCCTCTATCCAGTGGGAGAAACAATCATTAGATGAATAAGCTTTGAGCTGCCAAAAAACCTTTATGGATTTATGGACTAAGAATTCAATTAGTGTTCATCATAACTTTGAGAATTACAAACAAGAGCAGTTTGGAGATTAAAAATTGTGTTTCTGAGCGTTTGTTACTTTGAGAGTCCATTATATTCTCCATTACTATTGCATCAAAGGGCCTCTCATTCATTAATCTATTTATCCTTCTCATTCTTTTGAGACTCAGAAAATGACGCTCATCCTTATTGTACAAATGAAAAAAAGAAGCTTAATTCAGCCAACTCAGCTGGTACAGCTCAGCTAATGACTTAGGGCAGAACAGAATCTGAATGCAGGTGTCTCGGATTAAAATATATGAATCAATGCCATTTCCAAAAGGCATGCTGTTCTTCTGTAGGAGAAGTGTGCGAGTTTGGCAGGTCTGGGGACCAATTTTCTATCCCAGGGGCATTATAGGGACAGAACAACTGTCTATTATTTTATTGAAATAATAAAGGACAGGTGAAATGCCAGATGATTGGATGATGCCAAAATTATTCCTGCCTTCAGAAAGGGTGAAATGAAACAACCTGGGAACTGCAGATTAGTCAGTCTGACATTACTCTCAAGACAAATTCTGGAGCAGATTATAAAGCAGTCACTCTGCAAGCACATTGAAAACTATGCAGTAATACTAGAAGCCAACACAGATTTTTCAAAAACAAAATCCTGCTGTATTAAACTTATCTCTTTTTTTTGGTAAGGTAACTTCCCTGGTAGACAGTGGGAATGCTGTAGACATAGTATATCCTGACTTCAGAAAAGTTTTTGACAAAGGGCCTCTTGATATTCTGATTAGCAAGCTAACTAGCTATGGGCTGGATAGAACAATTATCAGGTGGATATGTAGTTAGATACAGAATTGTGCTTATCAATTTACAGAAAGTGCTTATCAATGGCTCATTTTCAAACTGGGAGGAGATACTCCTCAGTGCTTAAGATAATCAGAGGAGGCCCTCTTCTTGATCCCATTGCCAGTCTAGGCACAGTTGATGGAGGCACACAGGTCCTGAGGTGTCCCCAATCCCTAATCCCCAGAACTGCCAGCCCATGCATGGGGCTCTGAGCATCACTGGGGTCCTTCAGTGGTAGCATGTCAATCCTGGCGAGAGCCTGGCCAGTCCTTCCCCTCGTCCCTGAGCAGCCGAACACTCATCAACTGAGCAGGGAGACTCCCTGTTCCACTTCCACTTTGTGGTCAGCTGTGTGGGGTGGTGGGGAAGGGCCAGCCGGGCTTCTGCCAGGATTGGCACACCACCACCGCTGAAGGACCCCAGTGCCACACAGAGCCCAGTGAGTGGGCCACCAGTTCTGGAAATTGAACCCTGAGAGACAAATATAAAGCGCCTGACTCTAATGATGGCTGTTCTGTACATGGGCAATTCTTGCTCTCTCCTATTAAGATTGTCTGGCCATCATTGCCAGGAAATTTCTGGGTTCAGTGAATGCTCAGATGCCAAGCAGAGGGTGGAATTATTGTCACTTGATTTGGCCAGCTGTCACATCTATGTAGCCAGAGCAGGACAGCTCTGCACTGACATCCAGTTCCATTCAGGGATGGGATGAACTCATCATTATGGTAGTGTTGTTGCTATCCAGTAATGCCTGGTTCAGCTCAGCTTTGCTTCACGCAGTGGGCTTGTGTGCTGTAAGTCGCCATGCGTCGAGGCTGAATGGGGCTAAGATCACTCCAAGATTCCCTCTGTTGTAGCAATGGATGCCACAGATAGTAATTGAGAGAGAATATGGTACCACGGCATATGTGCTGATGTCGGAGGTTCTCTGAGTATTACCAGTAGTTACGAGAAACCTAGCAGTGCATACATATCTGGCTGTCCCACAGACTCTTTATGGCTTTGCCAGTTCTTCGGACCACATGTTTATTCAGCCGGTACTACAATAGTAGGATTCCCCCAGGGAGTTTCTTCCATGTTCAGGAAGATCAGTGTCTCCTTCAGCCAGTGCTAACATTTCAGGCTCAGTAATAAAGAGCTCCTTCTTAGGTCAGTGCCCTTGATGCAAAACAGCCTTTTCATACCACGTTAGCGCAAGACTAGATTTGCAGTAAGGTGTCTAGCTTCCCACTAATCACTCTCAGTGGTGAGTCTCCCTGACAGCAGAGGCCTGTTCTGATCATCTGAGTCAGTGAACTAACCCTGTTACTGCTGGTGCTTGGATAAACCTTGTATAACAACGCTGAGCTCTCACTCTCACCACAGGAGTCATTCTCTATATTCTGCTGGTTGGCTATCCTCCTTTCTGGGATGAAGATCAACATCGACTCTACCAGCAGATCAAAGCTGGAGCCTATGATGTAAGTTGACTCTCTTCTTTCCCCTCCCATCATTTTTCTGATTGGATCTCTCTCTCTCTCTCTCTCTCTCTCTCTCTCTCTCTCTCTCTCTCTCTCTCTCTGCTTTGTATGAATTTGAAGTGTAACTTTGAACCTCTGTGGAGCTGCAGTTAAGATATTAGGCGAGGAGAAAGAGCCAGATTCAAACTCTGATTCAGCTGTAACTTTCCTCTGGGCCATCCTTTAACCTAGAGCCAGCTTGTGCCTTTTCAACTGACCTACCTTGCAGGCTTGTTAGGATAAAATGAGATGAGGGAGAACCTCACCTCCCAAATTAAACTGGCCACCTCTCGCCTCCCTTTTCAGGAACAATTAAAAACATTTTTGTTCAACAGGCTTTTAATACCTAATATCAAAATCAGCATAGCTAGTTGCCTTATGCTTGCTGCCAGTATACTTTAATGTATTTTAAAAAAATGTGTTTATATTTTTTAATCTGATTTGATATTATGTTTTTAATATCTCAGTATTTCATAATGTTTTAATGCTTCTTGTACAGCATTTTAGCTCCTGTCTTTTTTATACCTCATGAGCCTCTTTGAGTCCTGTCAATAGGAGAAAGAGAGCATAGAAGTGCAGTAAACAAACAAATTAACAAACAAATAAACTGCTTCACTGAGCTGAAAATGGAGTTGGTTTCTCTCCTGGCTGTGAACATGGAGCCTGACAACTCATCTACCTTTCTGTCTAAAAACCTCTCTTCTAAAGTTTCTCCTTGTCTCTGCCTCTTCCTCATTAACATAAAATCCATGCTCTTGCTCCATGAGCGAACGTAATTTAGCATAACAGTAAACACTACAGAGCAAGTCATTGATGATTATACATAATTCCAAAGAAAATAACTGAGGTGTTGAGTGTCTTGAGATAAATGACGAATTTGGTCCCTCTGATAAAAGTAGGTAGGTAAAAGAATGTTTCTGAAGTGGTAGGAAGGAAAAGAATCAGTTGATTAAATCTCATCCTGACAGGCCAGACCCTCATCCTCCTGAATCCCTGACTCACCCTGGCCTGTAGAAGCTAAAATGAATTTTGTGGTTTCATATAGCTACATTCTCTGTGGCAGCCGAAGAATATCCCATAACTTACCATGTCTTAGCAGGCAGAAGGTTTTTCTTTTAGGGGCACAACTATTCCCCAACAAAAAATAAAGACCTTATGAACAAAAGAGAGAAGAAGATTATCAGGAGTTCACTAAGAGAACCCCAAACAAATATCATATTTCCCCAAAAATAAGACAGGGTCTTATATTAATTTTTGCTCCAAAAACACATTAGGGCTTATTTTCAGGTGATGTTTTATTTTTTCATGTACAACAATCTACATTTATTCAAATGTCATGTCATCTTCTTCTGGTTGCTGCACCATGGTGGAGGGTGGGGTTTCACTTAACTGGGACTCATTTTTGGGGTAGGGCTTATATTATGAGCATCCTGAAAAATCATACTAGGGCTTATTTTCAGGTTAGGTCTTATTTTCGGGGACACAGAGTATCTTCAGATTTTGAGAAAAGAGAATATTGTTTGTTTGGACCATTATTAGTGGGGCTCCTAGCTCTCACGCTTAGCAATACTCTATACTAGCAGAAAAATGGCAATTTCAACTTTGGCCTTGGGAAACTGAAAGATAAGAAGCCATAGTATTTGCATTCCTATATCTTAGTCCCATACAAAAGCCTCCATCTCTTAACAGATTCCTTCCCAGAGAGAGATACCTTCAATCATTAAAAGGTAAAGGTAAATGTTCCCCTTGACATTTCGTTCAGTCGTGTCTAACTCTAGGGCGCGGTGCTGATCCCCATTTCCAAGCCATAGAGCCAGCATTTTGTCCAAAGACAGTTTCCATGGTCACGTGGCCTGCACGACTAGACACAGAACGCCGTTACCTTCCCACCAAGGTGGTACCTATTTACCTACTTGCATTTTTACATGCTTTCGAACTGCTAGGTTGGCAGGAGCTGGGACAAGCAACGGGAGCTCACTCCGTTGTGTGGATGCGATCTTACAACTGCTGGTGTTTGACATTACAGCACAGAGGTTTCTGTGGTTTAACCCAGAGTGCCACCACGTCCCTAGTAGATCATTACTAGGTGTGAAATGCATCCCAACACCACTGTCCCTTTATCTTAGAGTCCTGCATGGATGTTTTGCCATGTAGTCTTTGTATTCTCACTCTCATTTCTGAAGAAGTGGACATATTCCACAAGAGGTCACATTAAATATAGCAGGTAGTCTTTAAGGCGCCACAATGTCTTGCTCTTCTTTTTTGCCTTTGTTTTATTTTATGTTTCTTGTTGATATGCCTGCACAGACTAATATGGCTGCCACTTTGAAAACTTCTCAGAACTGAAAATGTTCATTTTTGTGACTAAATCTCTGGAATCCCACATGCCACTGTGGGATTTTCCATCTCTTTTCCTTCTTCATTCCATATAATAGGTTTCTCCCCTATTTTATCTACCAGTTGCTGGCTCCTCCATATTTCTTTCACTTGTAAGACTCTAATTTCTTTTTTAACATAGTAATCTTAGAACTGTAGGTATGGAAGGGACCCGACCCTATGAACCATTGAATCTAGTCCCTGTCAAGGAGGTACAGCGGAGAATCAAACTCTCAACTCCTGACTTGACTGAGCTATGAAAGAAACCTGGGTTTGGGTGTGGGGAGCAGTGGGAGAAACAAATTTTTTAAAAAAAAATGCCAGCGCTCACTATCTTTAAAAAAAAGATGTTTTATTGCTTGTCAGCACTAGAGTGAAACAACTGAGCACTTTTTAAAAAAGCCAAATCTCATAGAGGATGCAAAAAGTGTTTCTGGTTGCTTTGTATGAGAAGATGTGTTTTCTTCCTCTTGCAGTTTCCTTCCCCTGAGTGGGACACTGTCACTCCCGAAGCAAAAGACCTCATCAATAAAATGTTGACAATCAACCCATCCAAACGTATCACAGCAGCAGAGGCTCTGAAGCACCCCTGGATATCAGTAAGTGCAATGTTCCATTCCTGGGAACTGCCCAGATTTAGAGGATTGTCCCTGGGATTTTAACAATCTTTGTTCTTTTCAGGGGCAGTTCATTGCGTTTGGAGGGTGGGGGAATAACATTAGCACATGGAGCCAGGCTGAGAATTAGTGTGAAGGACATACTTTTTTGCCTGTTCAGTAACAGGCATTTCTGAATATGGAGTACATACCATAAGTACATGTGTTTATGGTTTATGCTGATCATAAAGTAGCAGATTATTCATTAAAAAGGACCCTTACCTAGGCTATTGTTCATGTTATCTGTTTAGCAGCCCTGTCACAACAGACTCCTAGCAAGATAACTGGTTTAAGAAATGTGCACAGCATTTAATTTATTTAAATGAACTATGTTTTTCCTGTTATCAAGACCCTTGCAGTGTAAAGTTCAGCATACACGGACACTCAGATTGGATTTCTTTAACCTGGGACTAATAAGGCTCGCAATATCAGCCATTCCATTCTGAAGAAAGTCCTGAGTTGTGTTTTTGCTGTTCCCGTAGCTAGTAATGTATTTCACTTCAGTACCCAGAATGCTACAGAAGTCTTTGGCAGGTCTTCCTGATAACAGAAGTGTCATCCATTCAGAATCAGGGAGTCTGGGGAAACAACGATGCCTGAGGCACAGCTGCTTATATACTATAAAAGCAAAATCTTATTCTGAAGAAATGTTGGCTCAGCTTCCATCCCTCTTTTCTGCTCAGGTGTGGTTGCCATGATTGCACAGATGGTCAGAACACACTTTTGTCTTGCAGGGTATAGCACGTGGACCCACAACTATTGCTTCCTTAGGAGCACAAGATTTATATTTGGGACCTGGCCTTGAATGATCCTAGAAAAAGAATGTAGCCAAAGCCATTAGTGCATAAGAGAATCAGCTAAGGGAGTTTAGCTAAGCTGCTAATGAGCCATCTCCAGCCTCTCTGGTATAGGAAAACAAAGAATGAGCAAGCAAGCAGGAGAACTGGTTTCCACAACCTGTTAAAGTTTAATTTGCTGCTGCTCAGAGAGTTCAAACACAAGATTGCAGGACTATACTTAATGTATGAGAGCATAGGCATCCTTCAGTCTAGAGAGACTATGGTAACATGCTCTGAATCGAGAAGTGTCCTCTCCAGAGCATGAAGCCTGGGTAAGGTAATATGGAGGATAGGCTGTTACCCAAGCAGCAGATCCCCCCTCTCCACATTGCTGAAATGGTCCAATGGAAAGGCAAGAGCCAATACGACTGGTTCCAGCAACGTCGCAGGAGTTGGCAGAACGACACGAGCTGCCTTCGGGACTCCAGCTCTGGATTAAATCGTAAAGAGAGCACATTTAAGATATAAGAAGAATGGCCCAGAATTCAGGCGTATGTGTCTAGAAATAAACAAACTGTCCTGCAAATGTTATTTACACTTCTTTATAACAAGATGAGGCAGTAAGAAGCTGAAAGTCATCTGGTTTCCCTTCCTACATTGAAGCTGTTTTCTCAATAGCCAATAGATTTGACTTATTTAAGGCAGTTGCAGTGTTGTGATCTGAAAGCGTATGACGATCAAGGTTTATTATACCATTAAGTGCAAACAAACCTAGGATAACGGTTGGTTAAGACAAGTCCAGATGGCTGATATGTTCACCAATCTCTTCCATTTCTGAGCAGACTTTCTTTCTGTCTTCCAGCACCGTTCCACTGTGGCTTCTTGTATGCACAGACAGGAGACTGTGGATTGCTTGAAGAAGTTCAATGCCAGAAGGAAGCTAAAGGTAACCCATGTCCTTTATTTGACTCTTCCAGGAGGTGGGATTTTTTTTTCATTGCTTTGTCTTCCATTTTCCTTTCTGCCTGTTCACGGAGGCTTAGGTTGAGTGTTCAACACAATGGCTGAAATCCAGTAGTAAGTTGCAGTTAGAGTAGGCCTTTGGATCACTGGAACGGAAACATATGGAGGAGCTGACTCACCGCATCCTCACTGATTCAGTGGACCCACTCTAGTTGTGACTTACTACTGGATTTCAGTATGGATTTAATATTTGTGTACGTTGTGACTTACTACTGGATTTCAGTCACATTTATGGATTTAATATTTATGTATTTATTTTAAACAAAAATTTTACCCTGCCTTTTTCCTTAAAAGGCCCAAGTTCTGCTTACATTATTAAAAGACAATGTTTAAAAGCTAAAAACAGTTTGGATACGAATATTTAAAACCAATAAAAATCACACTCAAAATAGTGAACAAAATCAATACCAAAGCACATTCAAAGTAACAAGTCACAACACTCCACTTAAAACCCCCTCTCAGGCAGGCAGGCACTAAGGGAAAGCCTGTCTGAAGAGAAAGGTCTTCATATGGTTCTGGAAGGATAGTAAAGATGGGGCCATCCTGAGCTCATGTGCGCTTCAGAATCAGGGTGCAGCGACAGAGAAGGCCCTCTCCCAGGTCTCCTCCCCAAATGCAACTGTGAAGGTGGTGGGACCAAGAAAAAAGCCTCCCCTGATGACCTGAACACCCGAGTGAGGTATAATACTGTTTATACTAGGGAAGGAAATGCCTCTTCAGATGTCTGTATGTCTCTGAAATTTGAACAATGAATGCCAGCACATACTGGAGTGTGATGACATCCCTCCCTATTTTTTTTTCTTGCGTAGATAAATTTGTAGAGGCAACAATCCATTTCAGGTTCACTTTGGCAATTCTAGGACAACAAATAAATCATCTCCAGTACAGGGAAAAACAGTTTGAAACTTAAGATACGGTCACTTGGGAAAAGTCAATTCAATTAAGCTCTAGCAGAGAAGAAAAGTCTAATAATGGCAGTTAGAACAAGCCCTTTAATTAAAATCCCAGGATACATCATCTTTATCCTACATGTGAAAGCCGAATTCCTACATGTGCCTCCACGGATGTCAGTGGAACTTACTTGGGAAATGAATTTAGAATGTCTAACATTTGGACTAAATTCCCAGTTTTCACATTACTGTTCATCCAGCTCCGTGATGCTGGTGGTGGAAATTGGTAAGATGGCTGTCTCTGCTCATTAATTCCTGCCTCGTCTGCCTTTGCTGGGCATCGCCACATGCTTTTATTTTGCTCTTCTGGCTTTTGAGCACCCTGTAGTTTTCCAGCCTTTAGGTTGATGCCTTACAAGATTACTGAGGGAAGTAATATAGTAATCCACATTTAATGTTCATCCCACAATCTATTACTAACCTCAGATATGTTAATGTTAACGTAATCTCATTATGTGACATCTGAATATCTCATGCAGTTGATTTAAATATTGCAAAATGCTCAGTGGAATGGAAGGAGAGAAACTTTGACTTATGAAGAGATATATCAAATTAGTCTTTTACAATCTCCCACCCCCATTACATTTTATTGCAGGGTTAAATGCTATTTATTTTTTAAAACAAATTTTAGACATTCCAAGTTAAGTACAGTACGTTCTACTGACATCAGTGGAAGCACATGTAGGAATTCAGTTTATACACATCAGATTAATTCGGTGTCTTTACCTAATTGTGAAATTCCATCTTTTCTTTTTTCTTTTCTTTTCTTTTCAGTACTACAAGGACATGTTTTTCTGCCAAAACATCTGTGAAGTGTTTTCTTCTTACATAAAAAGATGGGCAGTCCTGATGAGATATGGGTAGAATTAGTTGATACTAAAAAATCAGACTAGAGAGAAAAGTGACCCATAAGCAGGGTTTTGTTTTGTTTTGTTTTCAAACAGTCTTGCAGATAATAGTATCTTACGACTGTAGGTGAGGCTGGAATTGTACATTACAATGCAATTTGAAGTGGATATTCTGAAGTGCTAAAAGTAATCTGATTATTCCAGCACAAGCTTTTCACACCTCAGTTTGCATATTAGCTAGCTTTCTTTTGCAATTACTCATCAGAAAATAAACATGAGCTTCTTTTTTTCAAGTATAATTATTCAGGCATGAAAGTCTGCCAGAATCACACCTCTGCAACACTAATGGATTTCCATTTCAAATGACAGGCTGCATGAAAGTATAATTTGATACTGAAGTCTTCCTGTGTGTAAAATGGATATAGAGACTGATTTTCTCTTTGACAACTCAAGTATGTTGGCCAGAATCCTGTTGGCTCTTTATGCCAGCCTAAGTCCAAAGTCCCAAGCTGCAGTAGGAAACTGCTGCTAGTTAATGAGTCTCTGCTTGCATTCCTTCTTGTGCACCAGTAGTGTTACCTTACAATACAAATACAAGTGGTGATTCATTAACTGGTAGCAATTCACCGCTGCAGTTTACATAATGCAACTGCACTTGCACTGACATAAATAACTGACAGCATTCTGGCTGCTATGAGAGAGAGAGTGTCTAGCAACAGTTGCAGTAATACTGCTAGCTGTGGCAGATTTTATAATCAGGTCCTAAATCAAGTCCATGTAATAATACATACCATGAAGCAGTCTGTCTCTGCTTCATGGTATGTAATTCCACAAATACATCAGGCTTGGGATTACATCTTGCAATCTTAGATTGTGACTAAGCTTCCATAGTACTGAACAGTAAGAAAGCACCCTTGTTTAGGGCACAAATTTGTGTATTGCTGAGGTATCAGGGCAATCTGTTTCGCTATCCATAATTTTAACAGACAGATTATTCCATTTGACACAGCAGAAAAATATTTTTAATAACTCCTATGCAGATATCAATTAGTCTGGTTCTATCAGAGCCTACTTGGTACTTTTTTGTTGGAAAAAGAAATCTCATTAGCCTTGCAAGAAAAAAAATCCTAGGTCTCCAACAGGTGGCTATAATAAACCCTGCTACCACCATGCAGAAACTTGCAGAGTAGTTTAAAATCTCTAGGCCACTATCCAGTGACTTGTTTTCTGCAAACTGTCTGCTGTATCTATTAATACCATCTGCACTCTATTCATCATACCTCTGGATTGGTGCCAAAGATGCTTCTCTCTTGTAGCCCCAGTCAACTCTGTTTTCCATGGGGTGTCTTTCAGGGGAAGGGGATTTGGGTGGGGGAAGGTGCAGTGCTGATTCTGAACCCAGTGATGTGTTCCGGTTTTTCTCTTTTCGTCTTTTATGTCTTCTAGGGAGCCATCCTCACTACCATGCTAGCAACCCGGAATTTTTCTGGTAGGTCACATATCCAGACTAATGTTTACTTTGTTCATTGGAAGTTGACCTTAAGATGGGATATATGATTGACAGTGGAATAGTGCTAGGTGAACCATAGCTCTGAAGAGATCACACATTAGAAAAGACTGGTTGCAGTAGGTTGTTTGCATACACAACTCTCAAAGCCACTTCCAAGTTCCTCCTGCATTATCTGCCAATGAATAAAGGACACCAAACAGAAGGGAGATATTTTTGATTCACACTCATGCTGTTAGACTGCCCTTCAGTCTTGTGCAACACACATCTCCAGTATATAAACATAGATGTGGAACTTCCATCCAGAAGTCCACAGCAAAGTGCACCCACTGAAGAGCACTGTTTACTTGCCAACGAAATTTGGAAAGTACCAACATCTGGCTGCATCAAAAACCCTGCAGAGATGGTGTTAATTATCTCAGATTCCCAGAAATCTTGAATTTTGATTTACTAATAAAAAATCAGATATATCATGGCTGTATTTAATAAAATAACAGGCTCCCAAGTCTTTTCTAACAATCATAAGTTTCCTGGGGATAGTGTATATGTATCTAAGTGCTTTGCTGTTCCTGGTGATTAGACAACAGAAAAGGTAGGTCACTAATAATGGATTCAGTTAAACAAATCTTACTTTCAAGATTTTACTCTAACATAGTGCAAATACTTAGAGTTTTCAAAATGTATTTATGTGAGCAATTTTCAAACTCAGCACAGCCAATTCCTTCTCAAAATGTAAGGGGTTTCTTCCCTGTGCAAAAGGCTTTCCAATATTTGGAGTGATTTGTTTGCCCAATGTTTATATTTAATATATTTCTCCAGATATGACTAACCTACTTGATTCTCTTAGGAAATCACACCCACTCATAAAAGAGGTGGATTTGCCATCTGAGTCTCTCTTTTAAAAAGACAGGTCATGCAAACACCAAGATGCTACTCACAGATCAGCTCCCCCTGCTGGCAGTTGGTGTGCTGCGCAGAGTCCCTTCCAAAAACACACCCCAAAATCAGGTGTATTCTGCCAAAAAAAGTTAATTCCACTGAAGGGGGTGGTAGAAAATCATAATCTCCACCCTGTAATTTCCACTGGTCAGAATCCTGTTGCCCTATGTGGTCATGCACATCTACTTTGTTAGGAGGTCATCCACTGCAGTTGTTCTCGTCTACCAATGCAGCAAATTAGGGCACACCGCTCACACTCCTGCTGCCTTAATGGGCATGAAGCCAAAGGCAAAAACCACTTGCATGATTGCCTTGACATCTGTAATATTCCCAAAAGGACACACATGCTCCTGTATGCTATCACTCCATGTAAAAAGCACCAGTAGAAACATCAGATTTTCAGAAGATAACAAGATTCGAAGATAGATCTGCAGTATCGGAGAATAATAACTGCAATAAAAACAGTGTCTCTCCCACCTCAATGGTCTGCAACTATTAGTTTCTTTCGGGAGGAAACATAGAAACGACTCATCAACCACAACCATATGGTAGCTGCAGCCACTGTATAATTCTCCAGATGCAGCCACTGTATAATTCTCCAGACATCGATTTGATGTGTATTATAACAATTAACCATTTTAAAAACAGCATCTAAATCTTGTCCCCACACAATCCTCTTTCATTTCACTGGACATCTGGTACAGTGAAATCTTTCTAAAGGTTGTGGGCTGGAGAGAAAGTGTTGCAAGGGGAAAGAATGCATATCCCCCGCCTTTTTGTTACCGCTGACCATGTATGGACTGTGTGCTGTCTGTCATCAATTCACATCTGACTTGCAGCACTCCTAATAGGGTTTTCTAGGTATGTGAGATATTTAAAGAGTAGTTTTAGGAGTGCCCCTCCCTATGGGTTTCCATGGCCAAGCTGGGATCCAAAGAGAGGTCTCCTGAATCATAATCTTCCACTCTATCCACTACACTACATTGGTTCTCAGATATAAATTGCATGCTGAAATAATTCAACTAGTACAGCTCAGTGGGTTGGAGCACAGGGCTACAGAGTCAAGGGCCATAATTCCCCACTGTGCAACCCAGAAAGGGGGCCAGCTGAGATAACTTGGAGCATATGTGGTTGCCTTGCTATCTTTGCAGCCTTGGGCAAGCTGCGTAGTCCCAATGTGTCCCCAGAAAAGAGAATGGTAAACCAGTCCTGAGTATTGTATGTGTAGAGGAGGATCATGATAAATCAGAATAATAATAATAATCATCTGCTGTCAACTTAATTCTGACTTATGTAGGGTTTTCCAGGTAGAGAATACTTAGAAATGGTTTACCATTCCCTTCTTCTGGGGGCATCCTGAGACTGTGCAGCTTGCCCAAGGCCACACAGGCTGGCTCTACTTCACAGGAGGCACAGCTGGGCAACCAAACACCCGACCTCTGGCTCCACAGCCAGATACCTCAACCACCAAGCTATCCAGCTATTCTAAATCAGAATAGGTGATTGATTGGTTGATTGGTTGATTATTCATTCATTCATTCATTTCCAGATGCTATGGCCTGGAAAGAATTTATGATATGGTTAATATGATTCATATTCATACATGTGTCATCTTAGAGAGGGGCTGACGGAAAGTTGCTTTTGTAGTTTGAAAGAGCTACTCGTGCATTGTTCAAGTTTAGGGTTTATTTTGCTTCTGTTAAACAACATATTTTTTTCCTGGTCACACAATGCAGAGTCAAGACCGAGACATTTTCTGGCTAGTCGTGTAACTACGGAACATTTCCCCGTTGACTAGTCGTGTAACTACGGAACATTTCCCCATTGACAGGAGGGTTGCGTTATTTTGTACCTTTGTTGTACCAGTGCATTCCTTACCGGGTTTGCCTGTATGCATGACCTGCCCCAGTTCTTTTCAGAACTGAAGCCAGGAAGGTGGCCCGCCATTACTTCAGCATGCACATTATTTAAAAAAAAAATTTTTTTTTGTCGTGCCTGATACATCAATCCATTGGTATATCACCGGGGTGGGGTTGTGTGGCTGCCACCATTATATTACTGGCAAATCATTTTATTTTCACTTGTGGGAAGATACATTGAAACGCTGCTATGCCAATGTCACCGGGGGGGGGGGATTGCCGGTACTGCTGTGTGTATATCGCAAATCTATTGTGCATTTCTGCAGGAGTGGCCAGTGCAACAGAAGGTCACTTTCCTAAACAGAAACTCCTTCCCAATCAGTGTTCCCTCTAATTTCCACCCCCCCCCATGTGTGAGTCCACACATACACACCCCACAAGGGGCTCTGTTGCGACCAGAGCTAAAGGGGATGGAAACAATAGTTGTGGGTGCACAGACAGGAGGAAAGCTGTGCAGAGGGGGCAGGCCGGGTCAAGTGTGCCCACACACTTTACAGGTAGACTTGTTTCCGATATATTGATGTATCAATAAATATTATGGCCGGCTACACCATGGTACTGGCTTGATTTATATATATTTTAATTATTGTAAGCTGCCCAGAGACCTCTGGGTAGTTTGGGCGGCATATAAATTGAATAAATAAATAAATATATATTTATTTATATAAATCAAGCCAGTACCATAGTGTAGCCAGCCATAACGATTCAAATAGGAAGAAATAAATCAGCTAAAAGTTCTTGAGATGTTCGTCCCAGGATATAAACCATGTGATGACGATTCAGTAGAACTGAGGTATGGAAAGTATCAGAAGAACTAGGAAACATTTCCCTCATGTCAGTCCTTCCGGAATAAATATATATTATTTTTCATGAATATGTATATAAATCAAGGGGATAAATTGCCCCTTGAAACAAGAGAGACAATAAACTGGTACCATGGTGTAGCCAGCCATAACGATTCAAATAGGAAGAAATAAATCAGCTAAAAGTTCTTGAGATGTTCGTCCCAGGATATAAACCATGTGATGACGATTCAGTAGAACTGAGGTATGGAAAGTATCAGAAGAACTAGGAAACATTTCCCTCATGTGACCAGGGCCACAGTAAGTTTTCTTTCAGTCCTTCCTTCTTTCCCTTCCTCTCTTAGCTAGTCACTATGACCACAGTTTGGCTATACATTAGTTGCAAGTCGTTGCACACAGAAGCACGCTTAAGTTCACTGGTTTGAAGGATCTCAGTTTGATTTCCCTCTGTGTCTCCTAGAACAAGAGACAACCTGTGTAGCCTTGGGCAGATCCAGAACCCTCCTAGAAGGAGGGAGTAGTAAACCAGTTCTAAGCACTCTGCAACTTAAAAAAAAAAACCCCGGAAAGGCCTAGCTCAGTACAATAAAAAGATGATGCAAGTTCTTGACTCAGACACAAGCTTGAGTCTTTTACCCAGTCATATCAATAAATAGACACAAATCTTTCCATAGCTCATAAAAAAGTGATAGAACACAATAAATCATTGTAACAATGCTTTGTCATGCTTTGATGGAAGAGCTCCACCAGTGGATCAAAGCAGCTGCCGGTTGTCTTACCCTCATGCAACGGAGCACTCATCATAATCTTTATTAGGCAGCACTTCATACCACGTTTACAATATATTAATGACATAACGTAAGATTTCCTTTGAAGAAGAAGCTGTTGTGCCAATACGTAGCTTGGTGACCTATGCCCAAAATTTATGATGGCTGAGGAGAGATGGATTTTTAGGGAAGCAGAGGGGGGAAAAAGACTTAGAAGGAGTGATCAGGATACATTTAACTCCCTCCCATCAGAACACAGGATCATAAGAATTGCTAAGACAAAAGTAAGAAAAAAAAATTCTTTAAATTTTTTTTAAGAAAAAGAAAAAGAAAAAGAAAAAAACAAAAAATTTTCTTTAAAAAAATTTTTAAGGTAGGCAGTTGAAGGTTTTATTTGATTTTTTGAAAATCAATTTGAGGTCTGCTGAAATGATGTAAGTAGTAGAAAAATAATAGAAATGTTGTGGATGAAAACAAGGGATGTCAGCATATGTGCATGGTAGACTTGGGTGGCCTCAAAATGGTTTTACTAAGATTTGTGGACGACCTATAGGTATATCAATGGCTCCCAGTCACAATGGCTATATGGAATATCCACATAGAGACAGATGGAATAATAGCAGTACTGATGGTCTTCAAGGCATGCTTGTGGACTTTCCAAAATTATCTGTTCAATATTACCGTATTTTTCGCACCATAAGACGCACTTTTTCCCACAAAACATGGGAGTGGAAAGTCTGTGCGTCTTATGGACTGAAGAAAACAGATTATATTTTCCTGTTTTCTTCTCCTAAAAAATTGGCGCGTCTTATGGAAAGGTGCGTCTTATGGAGCGAAAAATACGGTATCTAGCTGAGCACTGTGAGCAAGATGCTAGCTTAGATGGACATTTATTCTGCTAAATAGGCCACTTATATTCTTATGACCTGAGTGGCCTGGGCTGAATCCTTTTTAAATGAGAATGACTGTGATGAGATATTATGAAACTTGCAAGAATTTAATATGTTACTTTTTCCCCTAAACGAAAAGGAACTCCAGGTAGGAAATTATGTGTGATCTCCATGTTCAGCATCACAGCTGATAATCATGTCTACGTGTTGACACTACAGAGGTCTACTTAATGTAAAAATGTAACTGGTCGTGATTCCCCACTGTGTGCCCACACAATGTAGCACGTGTGACAACCTATGCATGAGTTGCATGTCCTAAATTCGGGCACTTGCCACCTTGAGCACTTTGATGAAGTGGAAAGTGCAGCATAGAATTTCTAAACATTAATAAATACCAAAATATAGGAAAAGATAATCCAGGACGTTTATATCATGTGGGCTAATGTTTTATTGAATGGAGTAAGCGAGGCCAAATTGGGCCATCTGGAAAACACTACAAGACCTGGAAAAACCTGGGTGGAAATGTCATAATATTCTTAGGGGATTCGTATTTTTAAAGGAGTGTGGGTGTAGAAATGGAGGAGAGTTAATTAGCCAGAAGTTCTGAAAGTATAAAACATTTAACACAAAGATCAGGACGTTCGCATCTTTATTCTTTACTTCTGTCCTCCATGTTCTGAGAAGTTCAGATGTTTCTCACACACAGACTGCTGATTATGCCCCACAGGTGGATTATTTGCATCTTCTTCTGCTCAGGAGTTGCACTCAGGCCAAGTGTACTTGTTCATTTCTCTCTCTCCCTCCCTCTCCCCCCCTCCTCTGCATGTGTGTTTAAGCATTTAGACTCTACTTGAAGGCAACAGCAAGAAGAGGGGAGGGATTAGAAGTGGGCTCCAGTCCCAGGAGACGGGCTAGGTCTGTGATCGTGATAGGGAGGGCATAGCTCTGCTTTTCATCATTTGTCAAAATGTGGTCTGCAGCTGTCAGGATGTCATAATTGTAGCACATGACCCCACCAGCATGGGGGGGACTAAAATTAGCAAGAGACACTGAGTAAGAAAGACAGACGAGCAAAAGTGCACACTGCTCTTATCTACAGCTGAACAGAATTCATAACCAATGCCATGAAACAGAGCAGGCAAGCCTAGAAAGGAGAGAGGTGGCAGGACAGGACAAGACCGAATCCTTACAGCCATGTGGGAGAAAAATCCTTGAGTCTTCTCAGGAAGAAGAAGAAGAAAGTGTCAAAGAATGCTCCTTCAATCCCCTTCTCTTTCCATTGCTGGCCACTGTGTTGGTGTCTCCAAACAATTAGTTTTGTCTCAGTACAACTGGCTGTGGCTTTTCTTACTCACGTGGAAAGATCTTACTAAGCCAGTCTGTGAGCTTCAAAGATTCTTGGGAAAGACTTCACAACAAGCCTGGAATTGTTGTGAAGTGAATTCACAACCAACGGAGGAGACAATAGGACTGAGTTTGTGATCTTTCATTCCCGTCTTCTGCTGCTGTCTCACCCAACTTCCCTCATGTTGCTGGTTCTCGCCGTGCTCACTCTGATACCATGCCTGCTCCTCTTGACATGGTACTTTTTCTCTACAGGAGGGAAAAGCGGTGGCAACAAGAAGAATGATGGTGTGAAGGTAAGTTCCCTGGAACGCTTGGCCCATCCAACCACTAGGTTGCCTGCCCTGCAGACGGCAGAAGTGGTTGGATGGGCTGCCGGGATGGAGGGCCCCAGCGTGGCCCAGTGCTTTTGCATTATAATGTTTTATTTTGGTTGATCTCCTGCTTCATCCTCTTCTCATCATAAGAGACATCCCCCCCCCCATTCTGCATTTCTGACAAGAAAGCAAACCTGAAAAAGAAAACATTACTTTTATCTAGTTTGCAACTTGCAATTCTTAGATGAAGTAATGGATGCCTCGGCTCATGCTTAATTTGCTTTGTTAATTCATACACCAGAATGAAAGACAAAAGGAGGGCAGTGAGGTGAACTGTGAGAAGACAGTTCTGGAGAACAAGTCAAGATATTTGAGAATGACCATTGAGAATGAGGGGTGAATCTTTAAGAATTATCCTCCTACTTCTACTTTCATAATTTTTTCATAAAGAGGAAGAAAGCTTGTGCCTTTCTCTGTCTGGATATTTACTACCCAGTTATGTCACTTCCAATAAATTCCTGATCTTAGGGTCTGTTCAAATATTTGGAGGCCATGGTGAGATAATTTTTCTGCAGCTTTGAAGTCCCAGAACTCTTGCATGGATTATGACTGCCCCACAGGCCAGGTGCAGGTATGTTATTACCTCAGAATTCACTTTTGAATGCATTCCTGACAGGTTCACTTAGAATCTGCAGTTCTGATGGATTATCTGTGTGAAAGAGAATTTTGATTGGAATGCTTTCAAATAGATCCCCCCATGTGTTAATTCTGAGGTATTTCACATCTGCTAGACAGCTGTACCACACATGTCCCCTGAGTGTTTGAATTGGGCTCTGTATCATTTCTATTCCTGTGCAAGGGGCTGTGACAGGTAAGAGAAAATGAAAGACACTTTATCTGGAAGAGAGGGAGATGGGATGGGGAGTGAGAGAAAGTATGGCTCTTGGTTTGTTGGCTGGTGAGGACATTGGACTAGAGTCTCTGAGCAGGGCTGTTACCCTTCTGGCTAAGAGTTCACTGCAGTTTTATCTGATTCTGCAAGCCTGCAGAATCAGATAAAACTGCAGATAATCAGATAATCTTCTGAATGATCGAAAACCTGGGGGAAATGGCAAAATTCCCATCTTTCCATTGCCTCACCCTTCACAAGAAGGTGGGGGTGAGAAAATGCTGATCATCAAAGAACAAAACTGGGAGCACAAGCTATTCATATACACATGCACGTGGGTGCACGCTCACACACATATCCAGGTTTCCAACTCTGTATCAATACTATAGCATGCAGTTCTCCCCTTTTGAAATCTATTTCATTGCTCTGTCGAGTGAAACACTCTGTTGAGTGTTGGGTTCAAGGATGAGAGGACTTTCTCATTCCTTTCCGTTATGCCTTTCTGTGGTAAACTCTGACATATTTGTGAAGTCTGAATATAATGTTGAATAACTCTGTATGGGCACTTGAATTTTTCATTTGGCCGGGAGGAGCCAAATGGTCTAATTCTATGGAGTTGTCTGCCATAGCAGCTGTTTCATAGTTTCCACATTAGGCTGGGTGGATATTGGAGGGTGTGGCCAAGGGATGGGTAGCAGAGGAGGCCTGCTCCAAAGAATGACCAAATGCCTTGAAGAAACTGTGATGACATGGCTGCCTGATCAAAACAGATACTTCTCCTCTCTCTCCCACACTCACTCACACATCTGCCTGCTGTCTTCTGTGCAAAAAGCCTTTCTCTTTCTTTCTTTCTTTCTTTCTTTCTTTTTCTTTCTTTCTTTCTTTCTTTCTTTCTTTCTTTCTTTCTTTCTTTCTTTCTTTCTTTCTTTCTTTCTTTCTTTCTTTCTTTCTTTCTTTCTTTCTTTCTTTCTTTCTTTCTTTCTTTCGGCAATGACATTTCACTCACACTGATACCACAAAAGGACCAGTAGCTGCCCTAAGAGGCTCAAGGATGGAGTGGGCTTAATGGTTAAAGTAGCTTGTCTGTAAATTTTTTATTCTGATTGTTTGGTTTTCTGATTCCTTCAATGGAGGGAAATGGCTGTGAGTTTTGAGCCCTGCTCATGACCACATTGTTTGTGTATTTTTTCTGACACAATCTGCTGGTTTAAACATGACTGTCCCAAAGAACCACTGTACCGAAGTATTGTCTTCTTCATGAGTGGTGGTAACAATTCCCATAAGAAAAACAGGTTATACCCACTTCCCCCCCCCTTTTCCTATGACAGAGTAGATATCTGTACCAGACAACTGTAGAGTTGGAAACTAGGTACCTATGTAGCAGAGAAAGAACAGGAATCCTTTTCACCCATACTTTAATGATCCAAGAACCATCACCCTTCTTTTAGCCCATGGATATACAATAACTTTCACTGCCCTGTTTGGTGTCACATCCTGTCACACTGTAAATGAACACCATCACTGCCCGTGCGCATCCTGTAATAAATTCACTTCCCTGTGTCGCATCCTTTTTGTATGTACGTCCCACTTTGATGAGGTCTTTGCTTTCATGTTGCATCATGTGGTGTCTGACTGCTAACTTTTCAATAAAGTTTACTAGACAAGTTGTTTTATGCCTTCAGTAGCTGAGACGAGTTGCTCTCTTCTTCCTTACTTAAAAGTTCTAGTAAGAGGAATTCCGGTATCTTTGCGTTGTCTTTAAAGAAGCCGTAGAAGGCTAGGGGAGGATGTCATCTGATGTAACAGGCAGGATATACAAGGCTATGAGAAGGATAGCCTAGTGAGCATTAATGATTCTTTCTGGCATAAATCCTGGAACATATGTTGTAATCTAATTAGAGATAAGTGTGTGTTTGATATCTGTTTTCGATTAATAAAGGAGGAAAGTTAAAATAGAGACATGTGTGCATCGTCCTCCCGGATCGTGCCTATGGCCTATTTAAATGCCGCGTTCCAATATCTCATCTAGTTCTTCTAGGACAACATTTATCCTTGGAATTTTTTTGCTTCTGACCAAGAAAACAGGGGTTAGTTTTTGTGATTTTTAACATATAATGGAGAAGAAAGAATATGGTACTAAGAGGTGTTCAGACTTGGTGTAAAGAATACAGAGAGCAAAAATCCAGAAGTGGCCAAAAATGAATTGTAACTGGGGGTAGTGAATAGAGAACTTTGAGAGCAGTGTCAGTGATGGAAATCTGATATGAGCCCCTCTCTTTTGGTGTGCATTGCAGCCCCATAGAGCAGAGCATCATGAATCAAAGAGCAAAGCTTTGAATTCTGGATCATTACCAGGATTCTTGCTCTAACCTGTTCTGTAGTACTTTGGTGCACAAAATGAGCTTCAGTCATGTCAGCAATGCAAAAAATTGAAAATAAAAAGGAGGAGGTTCATTTCCCACCATTTGGCATTCAGAGAATGTATCACCAGTGGTACACTGCTAAGGCAATATGAATCAGGCTGTCTGCTGCTGAAAAATGTAATTACAATTTTTGTGCTCCTTCTGTAGTTTGGGATTACCTCTACAGATGGTTTCTGTCCTCCAGTTAAACTTTTCCCCTCTTTTAAAAAGTATTCCCCAGTGAAAGCTATTCATATAGGTATATCTTGCTACACTTGCAAAAATCTTTAAAAAGGAACTATTGGCACAAAGTGTAATTTGCATCTGCTTGTTTCATATTTTTACATTTTCTGATGAAAATCTAGCAAACTTCCTCTTTTGAGCTCAAAAGCAGGACTAATATAGTTCTGACATCAGATTTCAATTTCAGTCCAAAGAACTTTTCTACCGGGAGAACATAGTTTTCTTCCCAAGCAAATTGTTTCCCTCTCCGGACAAGTGTAATCTATCCCAATTATAAACGTGAGCTACCACTAAATCTATATTAATTCCATCTAGTAAGAAACAGTGCAGATGTCAGGTACTCACACATTGTGGATGTGGCAGACTAGATTTGCTTCAGAGGTTCTCGCACTGACGTGTGCAAAATGCTGTATAGGGGTAGATGTAGAAGAGTGTACCCAATGAAAAAAAAGGTGAGAAGCAATCGATTCCTGTTGGTGCAAAGATTAACCAGTCCCACAAACTGTTCAGCTTTAGTTCAGTTGTTTGGGGAGATTTTAAAGTCTCCTTTGTCAGAGGTTTTCAAAGATGCTTTAGATGCAAAATGTTATGCCACATTGAGTTGGATTAGAGGTTCGTTTTGGTTCCTTCTGGGTGTACTGTTCGCTGAATCTAAATGAAGGACGCAGGCTTTTCCACCAGCAAGATGAATGGTAGTGACACTCGTGTGGGGAGGGAGATATAGCATTTGATTAATGGCAGGCAGTATTTTGACATTATTTAGCCCTCAAGTAAAATATGTATGGTGGTGTTAGCTTGATTCAGCAAGTGATTATTTATTCAGATCTTAACATCTGACTGATCAACTTGGTTTGGCTAGAAAATGCAAGATTAAGGAGGAGTTAACACGGTGGAACTCCACCCTGTGATGAGACATCAGCGTTCACAGGATTCAGGGATGAGGGATTCCATGTGTAGAAAAGTGAATGCTGGAGAAGGTTGGCTGAATTGTTCAGTTTGCTGGGATGCTCAGCGTGGTTATCATTGTGGTTCTTCCACTTTTGTCAAAGACACTAAACTCTTGGTGTTCGGCTTTATTCAGAAGCTCTTCGTCTTTCTAGATAGCCTGGAAAGAGTGTCCCAGGGCCCACTGCATCCCATGTTCTACTCTTTTCCTTCTTTCTCACTCTGTGTCTCTTCTTGTCCCATCTCTTCTCCTTGTTTTTCCAGAAAAGAAAGTCCAGTTCCAGCGTTCAGTTAATGGTGAGTGTCCTTTGTCTTCCTCAATGCTGATAATGTTGGGCCTCTCAGCATGTTCCAGCTTTTCCTGTTCTTGGGAATTATTTGGAGTTGTGGAAAGTGAGGTTGGAACAGCCTCTTTTCTGCAGATCCTATGAACAGGAATGGCTGGCACAGAAGGACAGTTGAAGCCCAAGAGCACTGAGAACTTAATTCTAATTTCTAGCAAAAGGTTCTCAGTGGAACTTCTCCTTTAGCAGGTCTTCAAGCTGCATCAGTTCAAGGAGCCATGAAGGAAAAGGACGTCTTATGTGGCTCTGCTGGAACTGAACATTCACAGGGGACCAGACAGCTGGTACAGCTTTGGTCAACCTGCCGCTTGAGATTTATATGCCATATAAATCAGCCACTGGTAGAATGAACTAATGGCCTAGTCCAGCCACCAGAGTTGTCTTGGTGAGAAACATGAACAGTAAATGGTTCCTTTTCTCTGTGTTGATCTGTGTACCAGTTGGCCATTTACGGAAGGAGGTGTGTGTCAGTTTTTGACAGTCCATGTGGGTTTTGGAAGCCCTCTCTGTTCAATGGTACATTTCTTTCTTTATGATGCAGTCAATGTGGTCTCTTTCACTCTGGCACAGTCTCCCTCACTATCATCCTAGCTCCCTCTCTCTGTTAATTTGTACATGCCTCTCCTGATTGTACAGCCAACATGGTGTCTTTCACTCCTACACAGCCCCTCCTGCCCCTCCTCGTTGTAGCTATAGGAGACTTCAAGACCCTCATTCCTGCTAAAGCTATCCTTGAACCTCAGTGCAGAAGTTATTTTAAGAAAGGTGAATCCATCTGTATGATATATTTCACAGTCAGATCTCCTGCCCAGTCAGGATTGTAAGATTAAAGTCAAGGCTAGTATGGCAGCCACAAAGCAAGAGCCGTGGTTATTGACTAGTACTTACCCTATGCTTATCTGTTTTTTCCCCCTTTGCAGTGTTTGGTGCTCTTGGGGTAGAACATGAATGATATGATGTGGTCAGGACTGGTCTTTAAAAAACAGCTGTGGGGTGGATCTTATTTTGCCTCTTTCCCTTTCATTGTCTGTCCAGGAATCTTCAGAGAGTACGAACACAACGATTGAAGATGAAGACACCAAAGGTACAGAATAAGTTAGCTGATTAGTTTATTTGAGTTCTGTCTGATTCAAGACTTAATCTAGGTGACTCCTGCAGCATAACTTTTTTTGGTCAGTAATTTTTAATCATCAAGGCATATTTTGTCAACAACACTATTTTTGCTGTCAGTTTATACAAACTTCTATTCAAATCTATAAAAACCCCAGCAATTTGAAGGTTGGTGATTTTTAGCTGAGGGAAAATATTGTGCCATGTGTTATGGCCAAAAGACATCAGTAAAATCACATTCCTCAGACCATAGACTGACAGTGACATTTTGAAATCTGAATATTCAGACGTGGAAAAGGAATGTGACTCTATTTTCTTATGTGAAAGGTCAACATTTTCTAAGTGTCAGTGCTGATTATGAATAGATGATCCCTAGAGACAAAGATAAAAATCTCATTATAAAATGGTCCCATCTCTGCAATGTAATTCCCTTACAGAATAAAATTGCTATCATGATTCCCATCCATAAATTAACAAATTGTTTACTTATTCATTTATTTATGGGGTTTTTTGTTTGTTTATTAGACCATTTTCCTACACAAAAGATTGCCTCAAGGTGGTTTACAAAATTAAAAACAATCAATTACAAAGTTACAATATCAGAATAATAAAAATACAGAATTTTCATTTCCAGTGACCTCAAGTGCCAGAACATGATTAAGTAATTAAAAGCAGATTCAAATTACTTGACGAGAACTGAGCCTCCTCCTTCTCCTGCCCTGCAAACCTTAACTCGTAACAGCTGTAGCTTTGCTGTTCCACATAGTCAGATCCTTACAACATTTTCAAGTATGAAACATCAGGATGAATGAACCATGTGACACATTCACCCTCCATTACGCCACTACTATAGCATATATCTGTGCTGGTCCAGATATTTCATCTATTCTTCTGATCTCCTGTGGTCCCTGGTTGCACGTATCACGCTATAGCATAGGTACCAAACCAGATGCCTCAGCTGTAAATATAAATCAGATGCTTTAGCTTCATCAGACTGGAATGCCACAAAGATTAAACAGTTGGTGTACTTGAGAAACTGTAAGTGGCTCCCTCTGAGCATCCTCATATGCATGATTCCAATTGTCATTTCTAATTGCCTTCAGAACATGAGCAGTAAATGCTCTTGTCTTCTCCTAAAACACGTGTGCAAATTCTATGCAGACAATGAGCAGGAAAGGTGGAATTCTGACTTGGGGGCAGTGGATAACAGAAACAGACAGAGGAAGAGTAGCTCCAGGAGACTCAGGACATATCCTAGAAACAAGCACAAATGAGAGATTATTTGGGGAAGGGATGCCCTTAACCTAGCCTAAAAGAGAGGATCTCAGTTTTAGTGAGGTAGAGATGGAGATTACACAACACACCTGTCTGAGCTTGAAGGAAACAAAGAGAAGATTGGAGGAGGGCTTGATAAAGGATGAACATGAATGGACGTAAGAGGGAAATGACTACAGAGACCAGCCTTCTTCACTGGCCATGATGGCTAGTGGTCATAGGCATTCTTATTTGACATTGCTGGAGGGCAGTTTGGGAAAATTCAGTCTATATATTCTCAATGTCCATTCGTTGAATCTCCCCTTTCTTCTCTTTCTTTCTGTCTGTTCTCCTGGAGCACTTTAATGGTTGGTTTGGAATGTTCTGTACCTGATATCTCTTCCAATGATAACTTATTTTCAAGACTTGATTCTTCTCGTATCCGCCCGCAAACTGAACATTTTCTTTGTATTTTCCATTTTCTCCATCACAGTTTTTTTCTTCTTTTTTCCTTTCCTTTCCTTTTTAAAGTCACTTATCTGTCAACATTTTAAAATCACCATTTGGGAAAACCCCAGGCAAGGCTGGCCTGCCTCCTGCTGTTTGATGGGGCCAGGTTTCAGTGGCAGTCCGGGAAATCATTTCTCAGTGTTAATTTGTAAAGTCTTTCCAAAGTCATCTGCTGTGGAGATGGATTTTGCCCTGACATTAAAGTTAATTGAAAAAATGCCTCTGTAGGAATAACTCATAAGGGAGTGTGCAATGCCTGTGTGTGAGGAAAATAATATGCAAAATTACAGAAAGACTCCAGATAAAGAAAAGCTTGTAAGCTCTGCAGGTTTTCTTATTAACTCTTTTATCTATTTAGCAAAGAAATTAAAACTGCCCACCATACCTCTGTATTTTAGCCTTATTAAGCCATACATTGGAATGTTTTTGTACAGTGTTTGGCAAGTCCAGCTCACTTGGATACACTGTTGGATTTCTGAAATTTATTTGTTCCTTATACAAAGAGCAACACAGAGAGAAAAGGAAACAGGACAGAAAAAAGCCTCCCTGTATTGTCTTCTAGGATATGAGCTGATGGGAGAGAGGTGCTCTGTTACTGACATGGTTTTAGGTTTGTTGTTCAAAGCATACAAAGTCCTGTCTTTTTAACAGCAGCTGAGAAAACCTGAATGAACTGAACTTTACTTGTTTCCTCATTCTTCTGATTGAAAAAGCAGAAAATGGTTGTTCATTATTCATTAGAATCCAAAAATTCAAACCCACACTCATTATTTAACAGCCACCCTGTTCAGGGATCATACTCCATGTACTGAGGGTTTTGGTGACAGGATTTGACTCACAAGTGTTTAGGGAACATCACATTGATGTAAATGTGTGTAGAAGAGTCTCCCATTGAACAAAATCCCATTCATGTCAGTGAAAAGTTACACCAGTGTAAATGTGCCAGGTGCTAGTGCTTGACAACAAGGATTTGCACTATGTAATCATGCAATTGATCATGCATTCCTGATGCGACCAATTGTTCAAAGCACTGGCAAATGTACTTTGGGGGTTCTGCTTTTGCTTCAGGGCTAGCACAGTTACTGAGGGCACAACCTTGAGTTATGTGTGTGTAATTGTGCATCAGGATTTTGCCGTTCTTTATTTTGCTTCTCTCAAGAATAATGATCTTGAGAGGTAAATTCTGAATGCAATCTGACAGTGCCTTATACTGCTGTTATTCATGGTGGTAGAAGGTAGACAGATTGAATTATTCAGGGATTTAATCCTTATGTGTCGTAGGGCCATAAGACTGGGTAGTTCCTCTAACCGTATTTGCCCTCACATCCATGAAGACTGATTGGAGCAGACAGCGACCCTCCCAAGTAAGGCAGAGGGTCTGGTGATCCCTCTCCTTCATACCTATTTTATAACAGTGACCTTCATGTTATTCCTTGAGTTGTGTCAGCAAAGCCACCCTTAGAATGAGGATGCTGCAATTGGTATGGTAAGGAACCACTCCGGCTGGCATACATACATACATATATATGCCATTTACAGGCCACACTGTGTTTACCCTTCCAGATGTTGTTAGACTGGAATCCCTCACCTTTGCCTCTATAAGTTATAGCAGGTGGGACTTGCAGTCCAAAAAATATCTGAAAGCCTGCAGTTTATCCAGTCCTGCCTTAAATATCTAGGTGTGTTACATGCCTCCTAGTCCCAGCCTTTCTTGACTGTGTCTCAACCTCAGCAGCAACTATCGGATGAAAGCACATGCAGAGGCCAAAAAGGACAAAGCCCTGTCTGTCCCTGAAGCAGTCCTCCCATCATTCCTGTTTTATTTATGAAGACTGTTCTTGTGTCTTCTGACAAGCATCATCCCAGCTCTCCCAGTGGCATGCCTTTTACGCCAAGGGTTTTCCTATACTTCATTCTCTATATGCTATGTCCAGCCCACCGTTAGCCTTTTGCCTTACTCCTTTCACTAAAAGATGAAAAGCAAGCAATTCTTTTTAAGCTGTCCCTCATTCTGGTTGAGTATTCATTCCCATCTGGCTTCCTCCTAGCTCCAACTGTTTGGCATGCCTTGTCCCGCCCAATTAAAAATCTTCTTGCCAGCCACCCTTCCAACTGCTGAGATACCAAGATGACTTTCAAGCCTTGATGGCTTTCAAACATAAACTCTTTGCTGCAAGGACCACAAGCTTGCTTTCAAACATGAAAAATGCCATTTTCAGGAAAAAGAATTCTTCTGTGCCCACCACCACATGTAACTGTAGGAGGGGTAGCCATTTTAGTCTGTGCAAACATTATAGGTGAAAACAAAATAAAAGTTAAAAAGTAAAAAAAAAAAAAAAGACAAAAGCAAGGTTAATGTTAAAAAAAGTAAAAAAAAAAAAAGACAAAAGCAAGGTGGCACGTTAAAGACTAATACGGTGTGCTTTTTCTCAGCTCCTCAGAATCATGGCATAAACACAGCTCTCAGAATATTATTTCCTCCCTTTCTTTGTTTATATGTGCGATTTTCGCTGTCAATCTTCTGTTTGGGCTTTTTTTTTTAATCCAACAGTACGGAAACAGGAAATCATTAAAGTGACGGAGCAGCTGATTGAAGCAATAAGCAACGGGGACTTTGAATCCTACACGTGAGTTTGCCTAGTGGGCAGTTTGAGCTTGAAGGAAGAGAAAGAAAAATACTGCTGAGATGGCCCAGTGTTTAGGTGGGTGATTAGGAGTAAAAACTCCAACACTGTTGCCATACAAAGCTGCATGGGGCTTCCATCCAGGTCTGAGAGGTTAATCTAAAGGCAAGTAAATCAGTGATTTTCTTGCACAGGCCAACAAAGCACAGTTAAGGAATGAATGCTGACAGCTTCTGTTTTCCTTTTCTCTGTTCGTCCCCAAACACTTTGTCATTATTATCTCCCATTATAATTGAAACAGATGGATTTCTTTTGCAATGTGGCCAAAGATAAATCGCAGCTATTATTGCTGGATGAGCAAGCATAGGCTTTGGTTACTGGCTAAGAAGACAAACATTATGAATTCACTGATAAAGGAAAGAGGCCACAGAGCTTGTTCTCTCCTTTGCTTTCTGTCCACAAGAAAGGTCTTTTAAAAAACAAACACGCAAAATCTAGTTCTAACTCCTGTAGAATGGTGAACTAACTGAATTTTACTTTTTACACACCCTTGTTAGATCCCAGCATGGCTTTTACATGTCTAGAGTTGAGCTATTGAAGCAGGTGTAAGCAACCCATTAGATTGCAACTCCCATCATTCTTGACCATGGTCTATGTTGGATAAGGCTGATGATCTAACAACATCGGTAATCTTAAGACCACTGAAAGGCCACCAGTTGCTTATCCCTGCCTTGAAGCTTAAGCTTAAGTGTGCTTCTGGAAAAAAAAACATTTCTTGAGCAATCCCACAGCCTTTTTTACAAATATTTTTGTGGAAAATGGATATCATTTTCCCCATTTCTTTGCCTTGTTTTCTCACTGTTTCCTCAATTATTTTTTCTTACGCCCCCTCCCCTACCCATCAGGAGGGAAACATGGAATAACTACACAATGCCTTTTGACTGGCACAGTTTGCTGTCCTCTGAAGATGCCGGCCACAGAGACTGGCGAAACGTTAGGAAGAACCACTTTCAGAACATGGCCAAGAAGCCCGAAAAACCCACAACAACCACTATTTTTAATTCTGTATTTATTTTATTTTAAAAGTCATGTTTACATCTTCCCAAAGGAGTCCTATTTGAGATCTCTAGGCAACTAGCAACATTGTAACTAATGCAATTCAAAAACATAAAATTAATTTATGTATATAAACTGCAAATCTATAAACTACAAATCAGCTACAGAATCACAACAGCGGTGTGGTGCCAGGCAAATCTGTCTGGTGTATTAAACACAAAAACCCGTTCAAGTTCATACAGCTAACAAGGCTGATGAAACAAAGGTTTTGGTTTTGGTGTAAGTAAACTTCCCAAAATAAGTAATTTTATAATCCTGGAGGAGCCATCTTGTGTAGCCATGGGCCAACGACACAGTCCTGGGAGGCCCACAGAAGAAGGGGACAGTCAACCTACAAAACCCTGAAAAGGGTTGCCATAAGTCAAATTTAGTCGAAGGAACACAATTATTATGATATAAAAATAAGTATCAACAAATATGTATTGAGTCTTTTTGGAGAAGAGGTTCCACAAGGACGATTTTTTTTTCACACAGATCATGCTCCTTATAGTTATCAGTTTTGGTCCTGACTAAATAAATAAGCCATGGCCCCTTCAATGGTTTTGCTGTATGGGCAGATGGTTTCAATCACACAAGACTGTCTCTAAGATGAGCAGCATTAAGGCCATCATTGTTTTCAATATAGTACAAAAAGTACCATTGGAAACAAGTCCATCCTTAATCAGCAAGTTAATTTCCTTAACTTGCTACGTCTTCTATAACACACTGAAGTCTCTTGTAAATCTTTCGTTCTCCCACCACACTGAGAAACCATGGAAATGGATGTGGCTCTAACAGTCACAGGCCAAGAAACAGAGAAGATAATTAAGGATGCCACCAAGTACAGTGGTATGTGGAGAGCTAGACGGAATGGGTAGGGGTGACCGAGAATGGACGTGGGTGGTCCTTCATCCCCTTATTCTAGGGTGAAGCCCTCTTGCTTTCATGAGCTGCCTACAGGAGTGGGCCTGCTTTCTTTAAAAACAAACAGTAATATATTAGGCTAAATGCAATTGTTATTCACAACCAGAGCAGACCCCCTGGATCAATGAGGCTCACATAAGTGTCAATTTAACCAACATTTCATTGATTCATTAGATCAACTCTAGTTCAAATAGTAATTGAATTTCAGTGAATGAGATTTAAGTCCCTGGATTTCACAGCAGAGTTAACTCTATTTATTCATAGAGATTTTTTTTAAAATGAAGGTAACCAAACAAAGGGAAGTTAAATGATCTCATTGCCTTTATCTCATTCTTTCCCATCTCTCTGTCTTTTCTGGCTCCTTTAGAAAAATGTGTGACCCTGGGATGACTGCCTTTGAACCAGAAGCTCTAGGGAACCTAGTTGAAGGGCTGGATTTCCATCGATTCTACTTTGAAAACTGTAAGCCCTGTCTACCTATCGTTTTTATCACAAAGAATATTTACCTGCAAGGTCACTTCGGCAGCCCACCTAGTAAAAATCTGAATCTGAAACAAAAGGGCCCCACTTTAAAGGCAGATATAAATGCTTCATAATAAAGAATATAAAAGACTCCCAAGTCTCTTGCCCTTCCCACTCAACAAGATTCTGGCTATGCTGGATAGCTTAATAGTTTGGATATCTGGCTGGAGAGCCAGAGGTTGGGAATTCAGTTGACCACTGTACCTCCTTAACAGAGGCTGGACTTGGTGATCCATAGGGTCCCTTCCAGCTCTGCAGTTCTATGATGATGATGATCATTACATAACATCAAAGAATCGCTGAAGAAGTGTCATCCTATCATCAGTTTGCTGAACAGCAGTTGTTGAACCCAACCTTTTTTAAAAAAAAGATTTCTGTAAAAAGAAAGAGATCTTGACCGATTATGCATATATGTTTAGGAATCAGAGGGAAAATATAAGCTAGGACATGTATAATGTCTTAGATGTAATTGCTGGCTTCTCAATAGGATCTTTGCCTGGAAGGCTACTGCAGATCAGAACAGATTGTGCTGAACAGAATGCACTATCAATATAAGCTGGCTTTTAAGTTTATATGTTCATAAACATTAGTAGTTTCTTCTCTTAATCACTGCCAAAGTTTCAAAACAATAATAATAAATGACTGAGTGCAGAATGAAATGTTTTTCCTCCCCTGTGTGAGCTGGGTGGTTGAAATAATTTCTGCATGTTTAAATTTATGCTCCAACCATCTTGATCTTAGCTGGAGCATAGATGAACTCAAGTCGAAAGAAATGGACCACATGCTTCCTTTTTGGAGAGTTGCTATGATGGCTTTCTGAAGACTAGAGGAGATGTTCCCATTATGCTGAAGATATAAAGACTACAGTATATGGTGTACTGATGTCACTGGTTTTCCTTCCCTCTCCTCCAGTGTGGTCCAGAAACAGCAAGCCGGTGCACACTACTATTCTGAATCCACACATCCACTTAATGGGAGACGAGTCTGCCTGTATTGCTTATATCCGCATCACACAGTACATTGACACGAGTGGCATCCCACGCACCGCACAGTCTGAGGAGACTCGGATCTGGCACCGCCGGGATGGAAAATGGCAAATTGTTCACTTTCACAGATCTGGAGCACCTTCGGTTTTGCCACAGTAAGTCACTTCCCAGATCAAAAGGGTCCCTCTCAGCTCCTCTCCTATTCCATTTTCATTTGGCACACCAATGGAATCAGAATATTCTGTTTCCACAATATAAGTGTAAGTGTAAAGGAAAGGTATAAGTACAGTATAAGCAAGACAATGGAAGAAAAGACCTTCTGATTGATTATCTTGAAAATATTTGGAATTACTATATTATCACCAAGTCAAAATCTGCCTTCAAATGACTTTTGTAAAAAAGAATCTATGAAGATTAGGGTTAGAATAATACTAGGGATTATTCATTTGGACCAGAATGCAACTGAAAGTGGACACCTTGGTAATCCCACAAACAGCCTGCACCCTTTTGCAGTTTGTCTGTTGCATTCTTGGTTTCATAACCATTGTGTGACCTGCTGTACAATAGACACCCTACACCAAAGGCTGTAAAACACTTGTGTAATTATTGTGGTGCACATGGTTTCTTCAATAGGGTTCTGGCCCCAGGCTTTGGACGAGAGTTTACTCAGATATTTTAATGTGCTCATTAAGAGGAGAGTTTCTTAGATAATTCATGCACATGTAACTTAATCTCCCCACCAACTGCAGATGCACACTCGATCATTTCATCGTTTGTTAGGATCCATGTACAACCTGCCAGAATAGTGAAGACATCATCTATATGATAGGCTCAGAAAGGTATTGTGAAGGTGTTCGTGGTGTTCACAGAATAGCAGTAGCTGTTAGTGGCTTCTTAGAGTTAGACAAAAGTCTATTATCTCTCTCCTTCTTTCTTTCTCCCTTAGTTAAAACCCATTTTCATAGGATAATGTGACCTGGAATGTTCTAACCATATCTAACCTGCAGGGAGCATGATGTCCAAATCAACTCTCATCATAAGAACGAGCATTTATTGTGCCAGAGCAAGCCAAATCAGCAACAACATCTCAGTGGCTTATTTCCATGTAGTTTCTAGCAATGCCACTTTGGACAGAGAATCTGTCCCTATTCCCAATTTCCATGTAGTTTCTAGCAATGCCACTTTAGACTGTGATTCTCACTGTCCCTATTCCCACTTAGCATATTGTGATCTTACGGTTGTCCCAGTTGCTTTGTCTATTACAGTGGACTCCAACCTTGGATCCCCAGATATTCTTGGACTACAGCTCCCAGAAATCCTGGCCAGTACATCAAGTAAGGAAGGCTTTTGGGAGTTTAGTCCAAGAACATCTGGGGAACCATGGTTAGGAACCACTGGTCTCTAAGGAAAATGCACCACTGCATACCATGCTAATTAATCCGTAATCACATTGTTCTACAGTTCCAGATCTTTAATATGGATTAGAACCTCCTTATCTATAAACTGGCATTGAGAGTAGACATGGGCTATTCATATTCATATCCCTAACAATATGGATATGAATCATGGCACCACAGGTGCTGCAGAGGCCCATTCCCTCCCCTCAGAACTGACTGGTCATTTGCCACACGGTGCTCAGTTCTGTTGTTGCCATCATTCCACCAATTGTGGAAGGAGCCCAGCTGTATCCTCCCTGCACAGCTGACCACTTCAGCACGGAGCCAGGATGGGAAGTCTCCCCGCTCAGCCAATGAGTGGTCACCTGTGCAGGGAGGTGGGGAGGAGCCAGCTGGGCTCCTTCCATGATTGCCACAATAATGACAACAATGAAGCTGAGCACCACACAACCAACGGTGTGTGGACCGGCTGGTTCTTGGGGGAGCACCACACAACCAACGGTGTGTGGACCGCCTGTTTCTTGGGGGAGGGAATGGGCCCCTGTGGTGCTGTGATTCATATGTGTATCCTCAGGGATATGAATACAATTCAGCCTTTACTTACTTGGGTATTATGGAGGAGCCAGATGACACTGGTGTCAAACTGTTGTATTCCAGAATGTTTGTGTTACATTCCCGTAGTTTTTCCAGACCAGATTTATGCCATTCTTTCTGGATGGGTGGGTGGGTGAGGGACTAATCTGTTTAGCACAGACTGGCAGAATGCTAATGATTTATGTTACTTACGATCCTGCCTGTTAGTAGGTGATGTTAGACATTTTGAAAAATTGTGGTTTTTTGTACTTCCTTGTTGCACTGAAGCAGGTATACTAACAAACTAAAGGCTTTATTTTGATTTTGTCTTTCTTTTGCTTTGTTTCCTTAGCATTCCAAACCAGTGCAGGTAGATATCTCACTCTTTTGTAAGCTATTCTGAAGTTCAGTGAAAGGAAGGGGAATTTCTTCTCCTGAAATGCAGAGTTTTGGAACTATTACGACCTGGACCATTAGAACTAAGCCAACATGGAAGTCTTACTGTACTTGTATGTCGCTGCAACAAGGAAAGTGCCCTCCAATGCTTCCACTGTCTCCGTCTCTTCTGGGAGATGCCCCCTCAAAGGCCCTCCACCATCAGGGCAATTCTTTTTCAATAGATATGGGAGTGCTAATAGGAAATTATATTCATTAAAAGAAAGACAGGGGAAAAAAAACCCAAAAATTCAAGTGTCCCCAAGAAAATTCAGTGAAAGTGGTCCTTTCCCCTATTGTTCTCCAGTAGTTGGGATGTCCCTGTGGCCATGGGTGTTGCAAGATGGTAGTGGGGAGACAGCACTATCTGGTGCTGTGTGGAACCACCATTTTAATTCCCTTTACAGCTCATGGCAGAAGAGCGATGCCCCAGCACCACTAAACAGTTGCAGTGCAACCCATGCTTCACAGGACTGATGACAGCTTAAGTATATGGTTTTGCTTGTTCTTTCCATGTTTGAAATAGGTGATCTCACATGGCTGTTCTGTCTTGTTTCTTGTCCTGTCAAGAGAAGATGGTTCCTAAGAAGTCCTTAGCGGGTGGCGTGAGGGGCGTTTTTTCAACCGAAACCACCAAGAATTGGGCAGTGGGCAGTTCTACCCCATTTCCCCTCTCCTAAGGGCATGATGGGTAGGGGGGGGTTCCCTCAACACAGTTCCCATCCCCTCCTCCCTGTGTATCTCTGTTGTCTTATAGTGTTCATCACACCTCAGTCAATATCTTGAAATGTGAATGAATGTCACTAGGGGAAAGAGGCTCTACTGACCCCTGAGGAATCTGTGAAAATTCCAGATCTTTACACAAACAGAGGATCATGAGCTGGGGTTGAAATGGTTGTGGGGGGGAACCAGATCTGGGGAGCATCATTTTGGTGGAATAAAAAGCTATTTCTTTTTGTGTTTTTCAGCTGAAAAATCAGTCGCTCAGGCCAGGTTTCTCACTGCCTCACCATAAAGGGAAGATCCTTGCTATCCTTTATCTAGGGAACTTGGCTGCTGACTCAACTACTTGGTTCTTGCTGGAATTCCTTTCACACACAGAGCAATTCACCAAAATAAACCGAGAATTTAATGGACTTTTCTCCTTCTGTTCTGCACGCTCCATGTTTGCCACCATTGTGCCATTCTAGTAGAGCAGGGCATGCACCAGAGCCCAATTGCATGAAACAGCTTTCTGTGTAAAAGGAGAAGCCCACAAGAGTATATCTAGGCTGAGAGACAGCCACCCACCAGTACTGGCCACAGAGCTCATGGATTCACTCTGGTTAAATATTCTCACAGTTAAGATGTTTCTCACAGGGACTGGATTATTTCAGTCTCAACTATTTCGAGTAAGTCTCAAAGACTGCAAGAATAGCGGGCATGCAATTGCCAGAGCAGACCTTGGTGGCCACATTCTTTCCATGGTGGATTGATATCTGCACATTGATTTTGCTCCTTTTGGCTCTCAGTCAGTTTGTATAATCCGTCCATAATTATTTAAAGGCCATACAGTCCATAACATTCTGTCACCCCTGAAAACCTGCATCTTCTATTCAACATTAGGCAAATTCTGACAAGTATCAACTTGAAAATATCTGCTAGGATGAATAGTTTCCTCCCCCTCCCCCCAAAAAACCAGTGAATAAAATATGTCATTAATTTATCTTCCCAGAAAAGTTTTTTTTAATTTTGTTTTTGCTTTTGCTGAGCCAAGAGAAACTGAAAACAATTTAAACAAAACAAATATTCATTTCTTTCCCTCATCGGGGCTTGAGTGAAGGAAATGGCTGACATGTAGTTGGCATTTTAATGTGTCTAAGAGCAAATAAATGAAGTGATGGCTAAAAAGATCTGGTATGATCAGGCAATCTTTTTTGTGCGTATGTTTAATGTAGTGACAACCTCATATCATGAGGCAAATTTTATCTCAAATCAATACATGACAGGAAATTTCTTCTTCCAGGGTCAGCTTGGTAAGGCCTATCTTATATTTACAAAGGTACTTTCTATTGAATTCAACCTCCTTTCAACTCCTTCTACCACCCTTATCCAATACAATTTGAATCAGCCTCTGACCCCATCAGTTATCAAATAAATAAATAAATAAAAGTCCAACTCTTTCCCTTGGCAATTTCCCCACATATACATTTCAGGAAATATTGCAGCAGTGAAGATGCTGGCACTATGGCAACAGACTTGTCTCTTCAGTCTGAAATATAAATAGAGGCCAACTCTTTCCAGCAAAGACGGATAAATGCAGGCTTTAATAATAACACATTGAGGTGTTTCGGTTATGCTTTTCACAAACACAATGAAATCTTTCGCTATCTCTTGTACTTTGAGTGCATGCCTTTTTTAAATAGGGAAACCCCTCCCCCGAAAATCCGTGTTATTTCGTAAATGGATTTTGAGTATTTGCTGAAATGGATCTTTATGTAATACCTAGAAATATCAACTGTTTGGGTTTGTGGCTGATTTTTTAATGAAGCTGGGGTGGGGGATGGGGCTTAATGTGCTACTGTTTACATTTGAAGTTGACTTTGTGTCAAGTTGTTTTTGAAAGTGAAAGAGGGTACAAGAAGCTGGAAGTGAAGGATGGATTTCTGGTGTGGGTTTCTGGCCAATTTCATGAGTGGGCTTTATGCTGTAATTGGACTCCTTGTGGTGCATTGTCTATATGCCATGGAGAGGTTTGGAGATGAAGATGCTACATCCTAATGGGGACCCAACAAAAAAAGAAGGAGGAAATCTCTGAACTGGTGTCAAAGGACAGCATCTGCTTTCAAAGAACTTCAGAATCAGCTTGAAAGAATGAAGGAGTGGACCCTTCTCAACCCTGTGTATTTTTTTTAAAAAAATGATAAACTGAAAGCCAGAGCATCACTGACATTATGGGGACATCTCTTGGATGGACATGGAAGGCTGAAAGACTTCCTTTGTGGCATCACCGTCTTGCCTTCCAGTGCAGGTATGGGAAGTGCAAGGGTTCTTAATTTTTTTGGCAGTCTTTCTGTTTCTTGTTCCCTTTTATGTTTTCCAACTTTGAAAGTCTTTACTCTTTGATGTGAAATTAACTACTGTGCACTTCTACTACCAGGGGAACTTATAAATGGCACTTTCTTTATTTGCATGACATTAACTTTATAAACAGCTATGTGTACTTCGGAGCAAACAAAATGCTTGTTTGTGGATAATAACTACAAAAAAATGGGGGTAAACTTTCTGTATAAGTTATGAATAGTGTAAATTTTGCCTTTTCCGTGGTTTGAAGTGTTTAGCTTTCCATCTTGTAAAGCAGGCTGGACATTTGCCATCATAAACCATGTTTGCAAAGTGCAAGAATAATTTCCCTTTGGAGCTGAGAGAAAGAAATGATTAAGAATACAGGGGGACCATTTGATAGGATTCCTTTGATGTAAACAGCTATTTACTTTGTAGTTGGTACAAAATGTACATGTGCCATCTTCCATTCTCTAGGAAAAACAGTGTAACACAACCTGATAATCTGAATTATGCTGATGTTTGGTGGAACAGCAAAGAATGATGCTGAGGTGAGAATTATACTGTGATGAGAAGGGCTTTCATACTCGGACAGGTTTAGCATATGAATATGGACTTGAAGACATGTTTACATATATATTTTTAAAGTAATATAGATAGATAGAAAGACAGATAGATAGATGGAGATCTCCCTCCACCCTCTAATTAACTGAGTTTCAGTAAAGATTTTTTTTGCTTCCATATCCTCTCCTGCCAGCAGTGTTTAAAACAGTACATCTCACTGTTTATTGTATGGTACCTCCTCTGAAGGGTTATTTTTGAACTGCCAGAGTTCATGTGTCCTCATCTTATGTTGAGCATCACCAAGTCTGCTGGTTAGCCAGTCCTCTGGATCCCAAGGGAGAAATTGAGTCTCCTCCTAAGAATGCATCTCCTCTTGAAAGCTACTGGCCACTGAACCATTTCTGTGCCAACTCTGCTCAGGTGATAGGTAAGGATATTTGTCACTGATGCTTAACCTCTCTATGCTGACCTGTACCGATAGGTAATAACCTCCTTTGGGCATGAAAACCTGCTCTCAAGGATTAATCTCAACAGTGGGCAGCTGTAATACAGTATCCTATACATCCTGTACTGAATTAGCATTCTGTAGCTTCCAGCCTCTTCCTGAATGCAAGACACCTTGGCCTGAAAGTTCATTTTAAGTCTTCCAGTAAAGAGGGAAATCTGGCAGATGAAAAGTATTCCAGCGTTTTCAATTTCTTTTGTCCAGTGCATTAGACTTGAGCACCTGCACTTTAAGGAGGGCCTTTTTAACATGTATAGCATTTGAAAACACTTTCACACATTCAGTTTTCACCTTGATTTGTCACTCATGAGTCTAAAGCCTTTTTTAAAAAAGTATGGAAGTGTTATATCTTCATCTGCTGTTTGTACCTGCTCACCTTCTGAACTCCTTAACTTCATTTTTACCCATTTAGATGAACATTCAGTGGCATAAGATATATAAAAATATATCTTTTCTTCACTTCCAAAGTACTCTCAATTTACCATCAAACAGGTCAAATGATATGTGAAACATTCAACAATTCTTTTTACTTCATATAAGCTGGAAATCATCAGCAGAATTTGTATCTTCGCAGAGCTAGTATTATTCTGTGTTATTCTGGCTTCACATACCATTAATGACTATATGTTTTTTCGGGGTAAGCCTCATGATATACGAAAATGTGTATAACATATCCCCCATCTCTCTCTCTCTCCCTCCCCCAATTTTTAATGAACATAACTCAGCAGTCTTAATTTTGAGGAGTGACAGTGAAACAGAGAACTGATTTCTTTCTTCACTCAAGATTTCCTTCCCTCTGTTTGCCCTCTCATGAGGATTAAAATATGTATTTATATTATGACGCGAACAGATCAAGGGGACAGTGACCTACATTTTGGGATATGGCTGCCCTGCTTTACAGGGGTTGAGGACTATCTTGTGGTCCTAGTGGTGGGAGGACAGTTGGAGAAGGACTTTGAGCAGAAAAAAACACCAACTTTCTCCTGCAAGTCTTCCATTCAAAATTGTATCCTTATGAGGATTAAAATCACTAGTAAGCCCCTATTGCATGCAACTAAGATTTCAGAGAGATATCGTTAGGAACTTTGCCTAAATTAAAAAAAGCAAGAAGCAACCTCTGTTAGCAATGTAAGGTTATGCACAAGAGGACAAGCTGAACTGTAGTGACTCTGCCTGATGGAAGATCACGGCTCTGCACCAGGTTGATGGAGTTCAACTGCTATGTTAAGGAGAGATGAAGTAGAAGGCATGCTTTAACCATGAATTACCAGGATGGTCATTATCTGCTGAGTCAAGCCTGCAATGACAACTTGCCCATCTGAGCAAATTGACTGGCCCAAAGATGAAATTCCATTTAAAAAATGTAGCAACTAAAGATGTGCCCACCTGGCTAATTTTGTCACCATTGGGAAGGAAGTTCCTCAAACGGGTTACACAGTTTATCATGCCATTTGTCCCAATATTAATCCACATCTGCTTTGTTTGTGTTTATTTTCTTGGCACACAAACCTTTCCCACCGAAGTGTCCCTTGCTAATGTTTGCTGAAACATCTCCCAGTGAACATAGGTGTTCTGCTCCTTTTGTTGCACTGTTCTTGTCTTTGTCTCTTTTGAACAAAATTGCAGTGCTGCTGGTTTTTGTAGTTGTTGTTTTCTTTTGGCACTCTTACTCATTCACTGTGGAAACCACCACCCTTCCACCCTTCTCTGAAGTGAAAGGACTTTGGCTGACACAACTGAGCCCATCATCCTCTTTCCCTGCCCCCATTCTGAAATGGCATCAACGTTATCACATGAAGGGTTGCATCTGTATTTGTCCGTATTCAGCCTTGGGGGTGGGAGAACCCCTCTGGTCTATGATCTTGAGCAGAGAGAAGTCATATATATATATAGCAAAGAAGGATGAGCAATAAAGATGCACTGACATCAAAGGACAACTCAATCCAGAATCAAATCTAACAAATTGCGACAGTGGAAAGCTAGTCAGAATAATTTAAGTGACTCCACATTCCAGCAAGTGTAACTTTCCTCATGATGCCTTTGCCCCCTTGTAACACTGTAGAGCGAGGGGTGATCTGTGCTACTTATACCTGTATTTTGTCTATAATGTTATGGAATAATAACCTCTTCCACCTCTTGAGGTTTTCAAACTAAGCCTGGATGGGTCTGAATCAGATGGAGTTTTCATCTGTTGAGCTGGACAATATGTAGGTTAGCTGATGTATCTAAAGTTGAACTATATGTGACAGATAATCCCCTCTTCTGACTGTATGTGACTATCAAAGCAGGAGCTTCTCACACCTCCTGTAATTTGCAAATTTGCTTGCTTTGCTTTCAGGCTCAGTTCAGCACAATGCTTCCTTAGTCTGACTCCTCTGATATGAAAACCACACTCAAGTCTCTTGAGGTTAACATGATCCCAATGGCAGGTTGTCTATATCGTATACTTTGGAGCTATTTCTATAAGTGATTTAAAAAAGAAATGCAAAAAAAACAAAAAAAACCAAACCCTAACTGCTCATTGCTGGAATACAGATTTGCCTAAATTGTTCTATCTAAATCTAGCACATAATTAAGCATATTTAAACCATTAAACCAGAATCCTACTGTATTACATTCAGAAGTAGCAGTAATCATTCAAGAGGCAAAAGGCACCTTGCTTTCTGTCTTGTTGTACGCTGAGCAGTCTGTCAGGCATATGAATGGATGTAGAACTGACAGCTGTCAAACTGCAAAATCTGCACCATTACACAGTGTTTTGCAGTAAGATCTCAGTCACTGGTTTAAATGGGCTTGAGCATATTTAACTGTTGCTGGCGTCAGGCCTTTGAAACTGAATCCCAGGGATCAATTTCCAGCTGCATATGTGAGAAGGAAAGTGGCCTTTAAACAGTAACATTCTGTACTGGACTCTTTCGACTGCCTACTACAGTGCAGTTATTACTATGCTGGTGGAATGGACGAAATATTCAAATGCATGTTCAGATAGGTACAGCCTGAAGTAGGCATGTTCCATTCTTTTCTCTCTTTTTTGACTCCAAATCCCAGAATTCTCTAATCTAGGTATTGCCAGACCCACCCCTAAAGTGTGCCCATCTAAAGAAAGGCTGGGCTGGAGGACTCCATGGCCCAGCACAGGCTGAGCCCTGACCTGAGCTTCCTGTTATGAAAAAGGATGTCGCCTTGGCTCTTGCCAGAATCTTCAGGGCAACATCCTTTTCTAACACGAAAGGAAGGCTAGAGTGTGGCCTGTTCTGGGCTCTGAAGCCTTCCAGCTTGGCCTTTCTCCAGGTAAGCACAATTTAGGTGTGGGTCTGGCAGGTGGAACACCCTGAATGGAGAATTTTGGGATTTGGAGTTTTACAAAATGGCATTTGTAGCTTGAGGCCAAGCCAAGCCCATCAGACGTCTCACCTGGCTGGGGATACAGGCTGTCTTCTCTCCTCCAGTCATGCTACATTTTTTTATCTTTTCTTAAGATGAGGTTTATTTCCTTCTCCTCAGTTCTTGCATGGCTGCAAACAAGCCACCTTTTGTCCATTTTATTTTTGTTTGTTTGTTCATTTTTGTTTTTTTTGTAAGGTAACAAATCTTTCAGAAGGCAAAGTTTGGGATAATTTTTTTCTAACTGTTGCACAATTTTATGGCTTTTGTAACATTTTAGAGGGGCAGTCAGGAAAAAAATTAAATGGGTTTAAAATAAAATTATAAATGTATATATAAAATATATATGAATATATATATACATATGAAATCTCTATGGAAATATTTATTTCACATGAATGCAAAAAAGAAAAAGCAGCTTTGTAATGTAAACAAATAAACTTCAGAGAGTGTCTCTCTCATGTTTGTTAACTTGATGTGACTGGAATATTCCAAAATTCTTCAGTATCTTTTGTAAGTGACTCAGAACTGTAAAGCAGTGTGACAGTGTTGGATTCTTTGTTCCAGTTTTTTGAATCTGTGGCTGTGAACAAAATGATCACTGCTAAAATTTTATGCTATATTTTTTGGGAGGGAATGGGGTCAAGGACATGGGGATTGTCAATTTTATTCTTGGTGTTTCAAGTGCAATAAAATAGCTACAAACTCTTGAGTATGGAAAACACTGATTCTAGCTAAATGACTTTCACAGTTTGCCTGACTCACATTTCTGGAATGTGTTTGCCTTTGAGAACATCACATGTGGAACACAAGCAGGCAAGCTTACCTGCCAAGGGACGGAACTTCCCCTGCCCTCTTCTGTGCTTCAGCTTTGGATCCTGACAAATCCTTCTTTTTCACTGATTAAATATCAGTTTCTGACCAGCTGAACAACTGTATCTAGTCCAGACCATTTTGTCTGCTGTGTGTATACTTTCATAGAATGATGGGATAATGGAACTGGAAGGGGTCTATAAGGCTATCAAGTCCAACCCACCTGTTCAGCTCAGGAATCCAAACGAAAGGCTATCTGACAGATGGCTGTATAAATTTCTCTTGAAAGCCTCCAGTGTTGGAGCGCTCACCACCTCCCAAGGTATTTGGTTCCATTGTTGTACTGCTCTAACAGGAGGTTTTCCTGATACTCATCCAAAATCTGGCTTCCTGTAACTTGAACACATTATTACATATCCTATACTCTGGAATGACTGAGAACAGATTCTGCCCTTCCTCTTCATGACAACTTGTAAGTATTTGAAGAATGCTATCAAGACTAAACATGTCCATATCCTTTTATCTTTCCTTATAAGGCTGGTTTCCAGCCCCCTGGTCATCCTTATTGCCCTCCACTGAATCTTTTCCAATTTGTCTACATCCTTTTTTTAAAGTGCGGTGTCCAGAAATGGAAACAGTACTTAAGATGATGCTTCACAGTACTGAATAGAAGGAAACTGGTTTTACATGATTTGGAGACTACACTTCATTTAATGCAGCCTAAAATGGTGCTTGCCTTTATTTGCAGCTACATTGTACTATAGATTCATATTCAGTTTATGATCTACAATAATCCCAGGATCTTTC